TAGAGACCCCCAGGTAGCTGGTGAACCCGGCCCTTGTCAGTAACAGCTCTCCCATATCTAAAACCAGCGGGAAATGAGGGGGAACGATCACGCATTAATGAAGCAAGACATTTCCTGTTCGCTGAGGCTTCAAGAGTTCGAGACGTGACTGAATACACGTTTTCAGTGGCAGCAGATCTTTTAAGAATAAAGAAGTATGAATGCCTCCCAGTGGTACACACTGTCCCAAGCAATCAATAATAATGATAATGGGCTTCATCTTATCGAAGTCTTTAGAGGGGCAGTGTTGTGAATAATGGCTCATCTTCTATCTCAATAGATGGCTCACGTTCCTCCAGCTCATGGCTTCTCTCCCTCTCCGCCCCCTTTCAGTCTTTTAGTCCGTTCTAATCTTTGCCTCTTATTGATTCCCCCCATGAGGCTGAGAAGCCGATCAAACAGCATTACGGTCGATTTGATGGCCACTGAGAAGATAGAGGACACTGATAATGTGACTAGCTACGCCATTTCATGCAACTGTGTATCCTGCACTGATAGCTTCAAACTTGAGTCCCACTGGGAGAATGCTTTCTTTGTTTGCTTGGAGTGCAGAGAGAAAGAAAAAATGAAATGACTGTACTCAACATATCATGGCAACACGGCGCGTGAACTACTTACAGTTGTTTTGTTGTACACCCTCTGCAGCTGCATTGCACAGATATGTCTTGTCTTATTAACTATTAATGTGTTTTTCTATCCCTCACTGTGAAGAAAGCTAAGTCCAGACTGTCTGAAAAATTGTCTTGACCTCCTGCTGGTTGGAAATATGAACGAAAAAATATGAAGATTTCCGAGTCTCTCTGTTCTGTCTTCTCGTCTGGATTGTTTCCCAATGTACAATCAGGTGTTTTTTATGCTTCCTTATTTGTCAGTAGTCACACATTTCCTTAATGGAAAGAGAAACTCAGTATCTTATTTGCAAGTCAAATGTTCACCTTATTGTCAGATTGAAGTATGAAAAGATCTAGAGTTTTCTGTATGTATCAAAAAGAAACAGAGTCACGGAGTCATTGTTTCCGGGCCAGTGGAATCGTACCCTTAATGTCTACCCCTGCATAATCATATGCACACTCAAATGACAGTTACTCACATTGGCGTTTCTGAAGAGACATTTTCTTTTAGAATTTTACAAAAAGCTGGCACCTTCAAAGGAAGCATGGAGTCATTGTTTCACAGAGTTACAGCAGACAGCTCCTACTCATATCAACCTGCGCACTCACAATACACTTTGAAGGTCAGCGGCTCGGAGGATCGCTCCTGCTCAGTCACATTTTCGGTGTTGGACACACAGCGGTAGGACCCTTCATTGAACCTCCCAGGGTGGGGGAGGGTCAGGGTGAGACGGTCAGACTGCATGACTGGCTTCGGATTGAAGCACCAAAAGCGCTCACGAACTGGAAGCCACTTCTGCATGTACTGTTAGGGGAAAGACAAAATGTGTTATGGGTTTTGTTCAATTCTCACATTTGTTGAACTACACAGCAGCCAGTTGCACCATGATGAGACATTTACATAAAGCAGTAGATAGTCCATATATTGGCAGCCAATTCAAATGAGTTTAGGTTATGAATGTCATCATGTGACAATGTTAAGAGGGTTTTTATATGAGCAGTATCCGCCTTTAAGTTAAAAAATAACATAAGTCAGAAAGCCCAACTGCTTCAATATCAATAGATGGCTGGAGGACTTCCTAAACATCTTAAGTATGGAAGAAGCTGCTTTCTCCCTGTTATATTTGGTTAAGCCAGACAACAGGCTTTGGGATAAGATAAGGGCTTTCCTGGACTCAAACCATCTCGGCTGCCAACAATAAATATAATAATATTAATTAATAATATTAATAAATAAATATAAATAAAGAGAAATAAGCTATGAAGAAACAGAAAAATAACGGTAATAATAATGAAAGAAGCGAAATTAAATGGGAAATGGATGAATAGGTGAATTAATCATAAAAGGAAGAGATGTGTGTGTGTATATGTACATATGTGTGCATATATATGTATTTATTTATTTGACTATTTATCTATTTATTTACCTATTAAACAATGAAGTATACCTATATTATGAAGCAAATCATGTATAAATACAACGCCATATGCATACATCAAATGTAACTGACACTGTAATCCCCCTACCCCCCACCCTTCATGTTATGTCCTGTCCTACTTGTAATCTGTGTGAGCCATGTCCTTGTCCGTGTGTTTTTGTCTTTTGAAAATGTTTGATAAAATATAAATGTTAAAAAAATAAAATAACAACATAATAAAACACTCCAAGAGGTATTACAATTGTCAGCAATAGAACACTGTTTGCCATTTATTTCCTGCAGCGTTGTAGGCAAACAATAATGAGATAAGTAATCTGAGTTTTTGAAACTTGTTCCCTCTGTTTCCTCTGTTTCCCACCGACCCATTTGTTCCCGTGGCTTACCTCAGCAAATTTCTCAAAGTGGACCTGGCTGATGTTGGCTTCAGAGTCAGAGTAGAGACACTCCAGGGTGACGCTCTCTCCCTCCAGGACCGGCTTGGTCGGCCCTTTAATGAGCAAAGTGGCTGCGTGTGGACAGAGATTACACAGGCTGGTTATTGATCACAACATAAATGGGCAGGGGGCTCACTGGGGATCGGCCTGGGGGATCTAGCTGCTGTTCTGGGCAATACTTTCTAAACAACCGCTCCCTTTTCCTGACATTTTGTTTCAGGCTCCTGTGGGAACACTGCCAATACTCTCAAAGTCCCCATGGCCACATGACCAACAACAGGTTATTCCACTTCCTTCGCTGAACTCCTGACAGTCATCTATTTGTTGTTCACTTAAGACGAGAACTATTGCATACCACAGACATAGTTTACATTATTTTTTACAGTTAAGCAGTGAGTTTAAACTGAACATATATTTGTATTCAGTAGGATAAGTATAAATACATACAAATCTATATACAACATTGTTTTTCTTGCCAGTCTCTTGATGATACAACAAACACTTCTTGCTTCAGTCTGTGTCGCCACAAGGGGAAACCCATCAGTGTGACAGAAGAGAAAATAAAGCGTTTCCTCTTGAGGACATACGCACTACGAAACAGACAAGCAAGCAGTGAAACAGGCAGGAACACACACATACACACAAACACACACAATAATACAACACCAAATGTATGAATATGGAAGTTAAAAACCCCAGAACAAGACTTGAGGATTAAATAGATTTTTACAAAGCAGCAATACAATTAAACGTTTTGACTAGATTGTAAAACATTACATGAGTAAATAAAACAGATTTACCATAGCTGCCATGGATCAGGGCGACCACTGCAGTAACAAGAAGAACATTCATGATTGTTCAAAATATGTTCTCAATACTGTGGCGAAATGGTGCGCTCTCCTGTGAAGCCTCTTATCTGAAATGAACCTTGCACAGTATGTATTTATGCCGAGGTGTAGGAGTGGCTTGTATTTTGAGGAAGTAGCTTCCAAGTAGTCCGATATTGTGAAAGTATTCAACAAAGCAACCATGCGAATCAAAATTGTTCATTTTCTTTTTAATGTCTCTGGTCATGACATATAATATGAGGTGAATAGACGCCTGAAATTGTTTATGTGAAGTGTAAATGAAGGAAGTGCTCCAGTGATAATTAAATTCAGTCCCAGTGCGTCACCAGTCTCTGGGTAGAACCAGGCCCTTCACGTTTGCTGTCTGAGCTTGTTGTTGAGGTCAGTATGTTTTATAACTAAGTTCAACAGGTTTCGAGAGATGTCTTAACATGTAAAAGCAGAGTTTCGTAATTTCCCTGGCGTGATATACATAACACCGAGCCAGCAAGCATTTTACGCTTCACTCGCTTTGACCATTGAGATGAGCGGGAATGAAATCGAAAGAGATTCAGTCCATCAAATACAGAGCATCAGAGAGCGTTTGCTGAACGCACACTTAAAATGCTTACATTGTGACTAACTGAGTCACACTCCTAGTTTTTTCACTTTCAGTTAGATCCAGGTCTGTTCGGTTGTCTTCATAAATCATGGATAGCTTATTAAATAAACAGGCATACACTATATTTTCTCCCACTGATATTCTATTACTACAATAATATAGTGCTTCTTCAACATATCTAGGAAGCGAAACATTGTGTCACAAATACATGTCGGTCAGAGCAAGCAAACGACAGTGTTCCCTTTTCTCATAACTCTGACGTTTTCCTCCTATGCACCTATCTACACAAATCAGAAAGTGTACACCAGCCTTAATAGTAGGCCTAACACTATTTAAGATACAAGTATATATATATAGGCCTTTGTGTGTGATTATACACCTTTAAAACATCTTACAATTAGCACACATGCGACACAAACAATGCATACAATAATTAGGGATGTATACCCTCCATGTAAACAGTATCTAATTTAACAATTACCAGCAAATCAGGGGCCTGTATATTTGGAGAATTTGTACTTAGACTGTATTATATCCTTATATACATGCCCATCACTGCAAAGGATATGTACTACTTCCTATAACTTAATTAAAGATTAAACCACATAAACCTTGAACAAATCTAACAAAGTGCTCTGTAGGTGGTTGTTTTAAAAAAATATTTAGGTGGTATGTCTAAATCAGCATGATTTACAATAAGGGCGTAATGCGAATATTTTTAATAAATGCTTGAAGTTGAAGATGTTTTGTTTCATTGTTATAACTTATCCAACAAAAATCTATTATTTATTTACTACTTTAAATGTTTTTTGCTCTATGAATGCATTTTTTATTATTTGAAATATTGCCATTATTCTATGCCATTATTTTTACACATGTATTTAAGTATTATACTTGTTATTAATGGGATATATCTCTTCGTATTGAATTCAAAATACTGTAATTGTATTTCCTTATTATATTGGTTTAATAATGGTGTAGTTCCAAAAGGTATCCAGCAGGTGGCAGAGTAAAGGCTTCATGTTTTCACCGGAAATAGATATAAACAAAGCGGAAGTAGTGAACGAGATAACCTCGATCATTTTTCTAGCTGTGCCGAGGCAATTTGAGGGACTCTTTTTGTATCAAACTCACCTGTATTCCCCGCAACGACCCCAAAACATGGACAGATAGTGTTTGTTTTACTGGGTAAGTTGTCAACTTAACAGCTAATTCTAGGATGTATGGTACAGAAAGCCGCGGCGCTAAGATTAGCTGCTAATGTTAGCCTGTAATGCTACATTCAAAGCTGCTATTGTTTTTAGCACATTACGGTGTGTTAGCGTCGGTATTTAACCTTTTCCTTTCTTTATACAACATACACAGCCGATTGGAGCTGACATAATTGATCCCATTGTTTGACAGTGTCATGTTTCTATATCTGTTACAATTGAGATCAATCGGCATAGTTTTACGGCTAAGTTTCTGTATGTGCCTTGTAGCTATTTGTAATGTTAATGACCTATTTGTGGTTTTACAAAGTACTCTACAAAGAGAATAACATAAAAACATCAGCACAGTAATGCAATACAATGTAGAGAAAAAACGGATAATGACATAACAAAACGTACCACAATAAAAAATAAAAGTTACATCAAGAAATTGAGCATAATGGATATAACAATAGGACAAACTAAAGGCAAGGCATGCATTAATATATGTTTTTTTTTTTACGTGAAGGGTTTGCAAGCAGTTTTAAGCATGTTAACGTATTGTTGCTGTGATCCTAACTTGGCTGTTTTCCCCAGATTTACGGAGGTGGTCCCTGTAAACGAGAATCTATCACTCCTGTGCCCACCTTGGATTGTCACTCCGGACTCTGACACACAACAGTTCTGCTTCTTGCTAAACTCCAGAGACCCTTCACTTTATCTGTGGCCACCAACATGGCTAACAGCACCGCAGCACCAGTGAAGGTTGGGACCCCTGGCCCTGCTGGCAGGATCAGTCCAGAGGGATCTCAGGTCAGTCAGCCTATTTATTTAATAATGGGGTCCCTGTTATCACCTTTTTATCTAGAGCCCTCATTACACTACTTAGCAAGGACTCAACATCAGAACATCTGTACTCTTTTGTAACATGAATACATCTGCTTTGCCTCCAGGTGCTCAGTAAGAAGAAGCTGCAGGACCTGGTGAGAGAGATCGATCCCAATGAGCAGCTGGACGAGGATGTTGAGGAGGTTAGTCTGCATTTTCAATTATGTTAGGTAGTGAAGTTTAAAGTGTGACATGAATACTACTTGCATCTTGCAGGTCCTTGTTGCTCTATAGCTTTCCTAACTGACTGCCACATCCATCATTTGGAAATGTTATTCTATCGAAAGCCTGGCTGCATGAAAAATGAGGGATCTGTCCAGCCGCCGGGGAAAGTTACTTTCCTTTACTGAGCACGATGGATGGTTTTCAAAATGCCCGTCTCTTTTCAGATGCTGCTACAAATTGCAGATGACTTTATAGAGAGCGTTGTGACAGCGGCCTGTCAGCTGGCTCGCCATCGCAAGTCCAACACCTTGGAGGTGAAGGATGTTCAATTACATCTGGGTAAGTTGCAGTTGGCTTTTAAATGCAGTGTTTAAGCATTTCTTTGCACAGCAAATGTTTTCAGGTATACAATACATGGCAGCCCTGTAATCTGTTGTGGATAATTGCTTTACTAAATGATTGTCTTAACATGCCCTATATAAAATGGATGTTTGTTTGTTTGTAGCCTTTATAAATGGCCCGCTGGCCCGGAAGCACTATTTAGACACCCCGCACTATTTAGACACCCGCACCCTTTTTTTTTATCTGTTTGCTGCGGAGCGCAGCGGGAGCGCAGCGGGAGCGCAGCGGGAGCGCAGCGGGAGCGCAGCGGGAGCGCAGCGGGAGCGCAGCGGGAGCGCAGCGGGAGCGCAGCGGGAGCGCAGCGGGAGCGCAGCGGGAGCGCAGCGGGAGCGCAGCGGGAGCGCAGCGGGAGCGCAGCGGGGAGCGCAGCGGGAGCGCAGCGGGAGCGCAGCGGGAGCGCAGCGGGAGCGCAGCGGGAGCGCAGCGGGAGCGCAGCGGGAGCGCAGCGGGAGCGCAGCGGGAGCGCGCTCATACACTACAGACTTTCTCCCCACCTAACCATTCGCCAACATGTTTTTAATACCAGCGTTAACCGGCCAAGCGCCGGGCAAAAAAAAAACTATCTTCAAATAAAAGAATGTCACCGAAGGAGTTAAAGGAGAGTGACAGGGAGTAGGAGAAGAAGAGGGAGAGAAAGTTTCAGCCACACTGGCTTGATCGATGGAGTTGGCTTCAATATGATATAAACAAGGTCTTTTGTCGGGTCTGTACATCAATGCCGACCTATGCTGACAAGTAAGTGAAGAGTAGAAAATATAAAGGTATATTCGCTATAGGGAAATGTCCCAGCAGTTTAGGATAATGAAGGTTCTAATCTAATCTATTACTTTAGGCGCGTTCACACCGGAGTACTTTTCCCCGTTTAGTTCCGTTAGTACCCCTTATGTCGCGTTCACACCAAAAAGAGTACTTAGTGCCTGCTAGAGAGGTGGTACCAAAAAAGTACCAATTTCTATTGGCTGGGCGAATTGCAAACCACGCCCCGTAAAACTCTGAAAAGTTTTGTGAAGCCGCCATTGTATTTGTGGCATTAGCATTATTAGCATTAGCCCCGCGCACCAACGGAGAGAGAATAACTTATGGCAACACACAAAAAAACATGGGAGCGGTGGAGATGAGGTGTCGGCGTTCTGGTGATTTACTCGGAAGGCTTCAGTAGAAGCTGCTGGGAGTCCCAGCAGCTTCTACTGAAGCCAGTCCCCAACTCTGGGGACTTCGGGCGGCAGTATACACCGTGAAGTTGCGGCCTGCCAGTAAACCCAAAGCAGAAGAAGACTAAGTGACGTCAGCAGCTCATTTGCGTAATCTTCCCTCAGGGAACTTATTCCGGTGTGAACGCGATTGGTACTTAGTGCCCTGGGGTAATACGTGCCGGGGCACTAATGGCGCGTTTCCACTACACGGCCTCGCTCGGTATGGCTAGGCCTCGTTAGGACTGGCTCACTTTATGGCGCATTTCCATTACAGTTTAGGAACTGGGGTAGTATCTATAGTAACGCAGTGTAGGCGGACCCGTGACGTCATCTTCAATGAGAACCCCAGAAAAACAACACAGCCGTTAGCTGTTAGCACTCAGAGCTCACAGCTCCTCATATATGTTCAGAAACTAGACAAAAGTTAAACAAGTACAAACCACAGACTGCCTGTGTCATGGCGAATACAGTCGCTGCTTTATTTATGTCTGTATAGGCCGTTGTTGTGAGTGTGGACGGTCGGAGCATATACTGCGTTAGCTTAGCCGATCTCCATTTAGAAAACACGCATTTTAAAAGGTTTTTCGCCTGCCGTCTGTCTGCAGACTTATCAAAGCATTAATTCATGGTTTTTACTAACCGGTATCAGTATGTTGTTACTTCGGCATCATTTTGAAACGTGTATTACAATTAAATCACGGTCAAATATGTCCATCTTGTTGTAGTTGTAGCCCCCTTGCCAGTGATTCTCTCTCTAGTTTAGCATACTCAGCCCGACTCAGCCTCGTTGTCTCTGGCCCTAGACCCACGATTTTATGAGGCCAGAAAAACTGTGAATTAGGACCCGCCGGCCGGTACTAGGCCAAGTGGAAACACAACCAAAAACGGGCCGCTGACGTCACAGCCCTCTTAAACCGTGCTCCGCGCTGTAGTGGAAACGCGCCATAAGTACGGCAAAGTACTCGGTGTGAAAGCGGCTATAGCCATTACATTTCTAACTCCTAATGACAGGAAGGCAGAAAGCGCATTATACAAATAATAATACTCATAATAATGATAATAGCAGACATTTTTTAACAATGACCACAATATAATTATTTTAATAAACCAAATACGAACAATTGAGGAAAATGAGGAAGAACTGATGATTAAAATGTTGTAGTAATGTAGTTTGTGCATAAATTACTATTGCAACAAATGTGTTCATTTTCTTCATTATTAGTCGATTATTTTGGACGAATGCTCCGGGCCAGTGGTTACATTGGGGGGGCCAGTGGTTACATTGGGGGGGCCAGTGGTTACAATGGGGGGGCCAGTGGTTACATTGGGGGGGCCAGTGGTTACAATGGGGGGGCCAGTGATCATCCGGGCCAGTGGAATTGTACCCTTAATGTCTACCCCTGCATAATCATATGCACACTCAAATGACAGTTACTCACATTGGCGTTTCTGAAGAGACATTTTCTTTTAGAATTTTACAAAAAGCTGGCACCTTCAAAGGAAGCATTCAAGGATTTATGCTGTAGAGAAAATACAAAAACAAACATCTTTGAAAGTGTTATGTCAAATAGAAAAGCTGCGTTTTACCCTTGAGCGAAGGTAATTTGTTCTCATCTCCCGGAGTGACTATGAATTTCTCAGGAAGCTCTTGTGACTGTTTGCAGACAGCTTTCGGGGTAACATGGCAACCAAATCACTGACTGATAAAATGTCAGCTCTGCTTTGTCATGACAGTAAGGATAGTCAAGGCAGTCGTGGATGTTGATTTTGTGTCGTGCTGACATTTTGCATTTCTTTTCTCAGAGCGCCAGTGGAACATGTGGATTCCTGGTTACGGCTCCGATGAGATCCGGCCGTTCAAGAAGGCTTGCACCACAGAGGCTCACAAACAGGTGAGCGACACAACGCTTTGTTTCTGTTGGTCACAGTTAAATATTCAGATCCATACATTTTTTGGATCAATCTCGTACATGTCATTACTTTTTATTCGTATTGAAATGAACAAGCCTAACCGGTTTCTTTTTTTTTCATTTCAGAGAATGGCGCTGATCCGCAAGACAACCAAAAAGTAGCAAGACTGTTCTCTGATATGTTGTACCCACTCTGTGTATTGTCTTTTTTTCCCCCTTTTCAGTTGGGATGTTTTTTGACTTATAAGGAAGAAAAGGATGGTTTGGGTGAAGTTTTTTTTTTTCATTTGATATTAGATAGTGTTTAATTGTCATGTCTCTCTAACCTTTTGAGTACTGTGCCACATACATCACATAATAATGTAATTATTGACTCTGATTCTGTTTTTGTTGCCATTAAGCTAAGCCTGGCAGAGCTCTATTCATTGCAATTTTTTCAATAAACATTTACTGGAATACTTCTTTTTGATTATGAGGTGTATCTGGTTTACCTTTTTAATATTCTAAAGCACTTGGACGTGGATTCAAAAAGATTTAGTGTTCTCATGCCAAAATGTTTTATTTTAAGAGGATATTTAATAACATCCTATTGCATATGATGGCTACTGATGTTTTATTACATTGACACTTTTTGCCACCATCCCTGCAAGTTTTATTTTTACCTTTGTCTATTTCAGCAAAACAATTATAGAAGAAATGGTACTTTTCACAAAATAATAAATACATGAACAAAGGATCTGGTATCAAGAGACATTTTGTATTTGCAAAATTTGACATGAGTGAGTCGTACATACAGTGTTGCATTTCGTCAAATAAATGTGTTTCCCTTTGTAACTAATAGGATCATTTCATGTGGTATATTTGCATTGAGCCAAGAACGCATCCCTGTACAAATACACAACAGTTAACCTGTCTGTAAATCTCTGGGTTTCTTTTAGTAGCAAAACAAATAGTCTGCCTTTTCTCTGCAGAAACACAGGAGGCCGTTTAATCTGCCAGACGGACAGTAATAGCTATGGAAACCTCTCACAACATAAAACAGTATTCAAATGCACCCTAGAGTTGTATAAATTAATTAATTTGAACAAAAGGACGCCCAAAACAAGTGCTCACTCAACATGCTGTGATGCAACAAAGCCGTTTCTCGAAAACACCGCTCAGGCCCAAAGCATTGCAGCACAATTCACAGTCATAGGGGGATGTTTATAATCTCCACCAAGGCACCCGAAAAATAACAGCTGCCAATCACCGACAGACCCAGCAACATAGACAAGAATCACAGATTAAGGTGCAGAAATGGGTTCTAAAGAAGGAAAAGCAGTGTCATTGTACAGTCTCACAAGCAAAAATCAAACAAATTATGCCAAATTGTAACCAAAGTACAATTCCGACCACTCGGATACGGTAAGGAAATCAGGACACCAAGGTTGGCAACCTACTGTCCAAACATCGATAGAAGAGAAGATGTGATCGTATCCCACTCTTATACAATGAATGCCAGTGATGCACTCTCATCTGGCACCAGTGGTGGATCAATATGTCCTCATTACAACTCCTGCGCTTCTGAACTCCGGTAAGCAAAGACCTCATCAGTCCATGTTAGGCTGATCAGCTGTTGGCCTAGCATCTCACCAACGAGATCTGAACCGCTCTGTCAAGTTTTAAAAGTCCTATAAAGGAAGGAACTAGAGATTTTGCAACTAAACAAGAGTTTACAGCTGTGATAGCAACATGACTATTGCTGACATCAGCGTGTTAGCATGCTGCTGATTAGCAGGTAATATATCATGTTGTCGCCATTTTATCCCCGAACATGTCAACAGCCAAAAAGTACAGCTGTGGAAAGTAGGCATGATTTTAGTTTTCATAAACCAAAGTGTTGGGCAAAATGTAAAATTTGAACTGAAGATTGCGCTAGAAAAAAAGCAAAAGGACCTGAGCACCTGTAAATATTCCATCAATATATTCTTCAGACATTTCACCAAAAAACAAACATGGCAACCTGCTGCTGGTGTTAGATACAAAAAAAGGGTACCACTTTACAATAAGACTAGCCTTATAAAGGGTTTACGAATAGTTTGTAATTCATTTATTAATTAGGTTGTGAACACTTTATAAATCATTAATAAGCTTTTATAAGACATGAGATAAACAGGGCAACTGTGACCGGTTGCTTGCCAAATAGTGAGCCCACATTTATCTGTAGGCCTACTGCTAAGCCTTATAGTGGCTACCTAGCTTACTTCGTCTTCTTCATCAGCCAACATCCTTGGTATCTGTTGCTCACTGAGTTGATTCTCGCTAAGTAGCCAATATAAGGCTTAGTCATCTTGCCAAATAGTGAGCCTGTGTTGATGTATGTTAGAACTGGTTTATAAATGGTTCTTAATGATTAATAAAGTGTTTACAACCTAATTCATAAACTAATTATAAACCCTTTATGAATCCTTTATAAGGGTAGTCTTATTGTAAAGTGGTACCAAAAAAATAAAATGAATGCTGGACAAAATTAAGTGGCAAGTCATCTAATAGTACGTTTATCTGTTTTACCAAACAACTGATCAACATTGCCATCATGGGCCAAAGATGAATATCAAAACATTGTACTTTAATGGTTTTCATGATGGTCAAGTTATTACATTAAACCTCCAGCATAGATCAGACCTCCTGGGGGCTGGTTTTAGTTCTATTGTAACATTAGTGTGTTGTGGAGACCACCACCAGTCCACGGTTTAATCACAACACTTCTTCTTCTTGGAGGTGGAAATGGGTTGTGTCAGGCTGGCTCTCTGTAACTGAAGCGCATGAGGTGCGGCACACTTGACTCCATCCCAGCCCTCCTGCAGCTCCACCTCTCCGCTCAGTAGACCCTGGTAGACCCTCCGAGTGAGCAGCTCGAAGGCCTCCCTCACGTTCTGACCCATCTTGGCAGAAGCCTCGATGTACGGCATCCCTAGCTGCCCGGCCAGTTTCTCAGCCTGCTCCCGACTCACCACCCTCCCCCCCTGAGCATCTTGGTCGCTCTTCTGTCCCACCAGGACAAACAGAACCTTATTCGGCTGCACTCGCTCGCACACCTCATCGTGCCACTCCTTAATGTGGTCAAAGGAGGCTTGGTTGGTCATGTCAAACACCAGCAGGCCTCCGACTGAGTTGCGGTAATAAGAACGGGTGACAGACCTGAGGAAAGAGGAGAGACACGGGGTTAAATCATGAGGAAAGAAGGAGGAGGTTTGAATTTCAACACATGAAAACCTCACTGGGTGGTGCAGAGGTCAGACTGGGCTTACTAACTTCCTGTTAGAGTGATCAAATAATCAGCTGATGCTCTTCACTGTCTGAGTTGAGCTTTTTCTTAAAGATAAGCAGGTTGATTAAAGAGTCAATAAATGAATATCTACTGTGTTTCTCTCAGCCTAATCAGGAAACTGTCAAGAGGCATGGAGTTCCCCCATGAGTCACTGAATGTTTAACCGAAATCATAGGGCTGGTTAAACGGTCCTCCTTGGAGCCCGTTGCTAAAAAAAACACATACTTTATTCATTACTTATTTAGGAAAACTATCCTGATTTGGCTGACTTTTTAGCTGACTCATGTGGGATAAGCTGGCTACAGATACGAGGCAGAGAGGAGGTAAACACAAACAGGCAGTCTGCAATTTGTCACGGTTCATTCAACTGGAGAACTGATTTAATGAATTTAGAGACAGTGAAATATTTTACTGTTTGTTTAGTTTTTTCTTTAAATATGCTGAGCATGAAGAATAACGCCCTTTGAAAGATCGGCCTCTTCAACTTTAAGCATTACACATACAGCACTGCATCTCTACACACACTGATCTTGTGAGTTTGACAGGGTGGATACACAGTGGCAAACACTAATGAACCCGTGTGAATGGAATAACCAGTGGTAGTTTATTTGGATAGTATATTTGCATGCAGAGGAGTCATATTGGGATATTTATATTCTAGTACTATCTTATACAAAGAAGCATAGTGTCTGGTGCGTCCTCACCTGAACCTTTCCTGCCCGGCTGTGTCCCAGAACTGTAGCTTGACGCGGACGCCCGGCTCCACCTCCAGGAAGTGAACGTAGAAGTCTACACCCACCGTCTGGTTGATGGACTCCAGGAACATGTCTTCTGTGTAGCGCTTCAGCAGGGAGGACTTGCCCACTGTGGAGTCCCCCAGCATGATGATCCTGAACTGGTACTGCCACAACGTTAGATCCATGGTTGCTGGTTGTGGGGAAACAAGGTATGACAGTGAATACAGCTTGTAGGGATTCAGATGTGTATACAAGTTGGGTTAAAAAGAAGATGGACACCAAAGGAATTATGAAAGAGGTTGCAAGTAAGGTCAGGAATAACTGAGGTTTATATTGAACACTATAGATGGTACCTTAAGGGTTGTACAAGATATTTAAAGAAGAAATATTACCTGTAAGAGACTAGAAATCCAGCTTCCCACCAGTTGGTTCCTTATCTTTGACGCTCCAAATGTTGAGAACAACCACAGCAGCCACTCCTTGTAAATCTCGCAATCAGCAATCTGTTCACAGTCATCTCAAACTCCTATACAGGTGAGGGCTGCAGCACAAGTCTCTCACTCTCTGCCCCATGGTGGTTCATCCAAAACTCTTCAAAAAGCAGGTTTGTGGACAAATCTGTCCCACAAAAGTAGATCCTAGTACAGCTGTGGTTGGCATCCGAGTTGCTGATCCTGACTGATACTGTAAGCATGTGCATGGGTGTGCTGCGCAGGGGAGTGAACTTCTAAAGTTTCCCTGTTTATACTTGACAAAAGGCAGGGCAGAAAAAGGATAAGGGGAGGGCTGTTGTGGAATGGGAGGGCCAGATGTGGGAGTAAAAGGGGAGGGGTTATAAAGGAAGTAGTGTTGCAGTTGATACCATATCAAGACAAAACGTAATGTTTCCTGCTGGTTTATATCAGAGTGACATCATTGACAGTGGTGGATGTGGGCAACTGTCTGCCCACAGGATTTGCAGCAGTTCTTATCACTTTATGGTATTGTCAGTAGAGTGAACATTGCTACCTGAAAAGGGAAGTTGACAGTTTATGTTCCCCTGGGAATCACTAGGAAAGGCTACTCCTTTTCTACAATGGGTTTGTTGAAGGTTTAATGGTATTTTTAGTAATGACTACATGTCTTCTTCTTAGTTATTGTGACTATTTTAGTATTGAACTTGGTTGTCATTAAATGCAAGAGTTTCTATGAGAACAACAAATAAAAATAGCACACACAAATGTATTCAGCTTTTTACAGCTATCACAAGACAGCAACTAAATACTGTACAAGTATTTGTGTTATTGTTCTCAGTCGCACCTTTTTTTGTGAATTGTAATGAATACAGACATCTTCCAGACTTTACATTTATATAAAAAAAGAATTACACTAGTATCAAGTTCCCCCAATGCCAAACAGCATCAACAGTATTGCTATCAATGAATACAAAAGCGTTTCAGTCTCTTTAAAACGCATTAGAGTATCAATGCACGCCCTTTTAGATTTAATTTAAACCAAGGGTCTCATAGTCGCTGGTAAAAAGCAGAAGTTGCCATGATTCTCAGCATTACTTCAATAAAAAGCCAAATTGTCGAGAGGAATACAAATATATTTATTCAGAATGAACAAACAATGAATCACACATGCAACTGAGCTTCATAGATATAAAAATACAGCATGTTTTCATTTGGGTCACCAACAGATTTAGCATTGGCAGCAATGATTTAGATATTCAGGCTCATTAAATTTGACAAGACTCCAAGTGAAAATGTGACATCTTCTACAGTTGGCTGTTGGGGATGTTTTGA